CCCTTTGCTTAGGACAGGGAGGGAAGCAGGTACAAAGCTCTGCAGGCAAGAGAATGAACTGAATGTAAACTTCCCTTTCTTATTTCCCTCAGCGCCCAGTGTTTGATGAGCCTGTCCCGGTGGTCTGTCCTCCTTAGTTTGCTCTTTGAAAGATCACAGAAGAAAGGTGGGATATCAGGTATGTTTCCTGGCATGTCAGGCTTCCTCAGCTTCAGAGTCCCAGGCACTTTTGTTTCCTACCTGTGGCAGCAGAGCAGTGGGATGCCTGGGTGTCTCCATCTGTGCTGTACAGGAAATCCCCACGTGCTGTGTAGGGAACTGAGCTTGCTCCTACCACAGCAGTAAGGATTTCACACCAACAGCATGAATGTTAAATATTTCTGAAATTAATTTTTAAGTTGCTAAGCCTCTTTTTGCACTTCTGCTTTTGTTGTCACAGAGCAACATTTTGCTAATTGTAAAGTTATCAGCATTTCAGTGTCTAGTGTCTCATAGTAATCCCACATATAGCTACCTAGAAATCTATAGAGCCTACAATGGATTTTTTTTCTGTTGTTTTCTAAAAGCATCCTGAAAATTAATTCAAACTGAGGAAGCAGAAACTATTGCAGAAATTATTGGAGTTATTGCTACTGCTATACCTTGGCTGTGGAACATCACAAACCCTGGAAAAATGTCCAAATACAATATGATTTGTCTGAATAAATTTATGGGTGGATAAAAAAGTTCATTTAGAAGAACGCATGGCTAGTCTAAATTTGACATAATTAAATTATGTCTTGGGTGCAATACATACATTATCTGCTCATGCAAGCAACTGTGTGGCAAAGATTCCTCATTCTTACACTCTGGGAAGTTTTTAGGTCATCTCAGCATTCCTGGACATCTGTCAATTTGCCTATAAGCAAATATAAAAATATTATATTATTTTTGCCTTTCAGGCTGATGGTAAGGATGTTGCAGGGTGGTCGCTGAACCCAGAGGACTCTGCAAACCAGGGATTCCTTTTTGCCTCAGACCCAGGGGTCTGTCTGTCCCTCTCAGTCCCACGGGTGCATCCCGCAGCAGTTGCTGTGTGCAGGGAGGGCTGGCGGCGGGGCTGCGGCTCCTGTGTGTGTGTACGAGGCCACTCCCGGGATGCCCAAACCACATACAGTCAGTGCAGGTAATCCAGCCCTGCTGCTCCCTCCCCGGGTCCGGTCTGGGGTTCCCTACAGACACCCCACGCTCTCAGGTTCACAAGCTCAGCCGCATTCACGGACCGCCGAACATCGGCGTGGCCTCCGAGTCCGTGTGATACGGCTGCCCAGACCTGCACCCTCCTAGCCGGGCTGCGGGTCTCCTCTCCTTGGTGCTATCGGGCTCGAAGCTTGCTAGCGAGGTTTACGGGCACACCCTCAGGGTTAAGCTCCGGGGCACACGGCCCTGCAGTCCCTTCCCTCCGGCTGCCACTCACACCTAGTGGCACCTTGGCACAGCGCAGGAATCCG